TGGACTTTTTCTTCCAAATTCTTTGAAATTCAACATGGATGATATGAATCATGTTCAAAATGATGAAATTTTTGATCTCCAAGCTCAAAACTCGAATTCAACTCTCCAAAACACTTCTCTTGGGCCCCAAAACTTGAGATAACATTTGTGAACTTGTAAAATATGATGAATTAAGGATTATTTCATAAAATTATGGCCCAAGAGTTTGCCAATAGCTCACAATTCATTTGAGACTTAAGAAACAAAGCATGCATGTAAAATCTTTCAAACTCTTTTCTCCAAAACTCATGAAGTTAGCAAATTGAGCTTATAAGCTCTATGTATGTAAGAAATTCCTTCTCAAAACATGAATTCAAATGATGAAACATGATAATTCAAACATGCATGTACCAATCAATTCACAATAACACCTTGAATGCACAAGCTCAACTCAACATGGTAAAACTTTATATATTCATGCATGCATGTGGACTTTTCTTCCAAATTCTTTGAAATTCAACATGGATGATATGAATCATGTTCAAAATGATGAAATTAAACTAAACTAAGCATGCACGTATGAATTAACTCTAAATTCATCATCTTTAGTTCAATTCTTGTACATAATTACAAATTCCTCTTTAATTGATCTACTTGATGGCTTAAACTCATGATCAAAATGATGATAAGCACTTATATAAGTATGCATATGAATCCACTTCCTTTTTCTTCATCTTTTTGACACACTAATATGAAATACATGCAAATGATCAAGGTACCTTCATGAACTCAACAATTAAACACATTATCTATATGAATTATAGCTTAGATTCATACCTAGAGCCTTGATCTTGCCAAGAACTTGCACAATCTTGATGAGTACTTATGAATCTTTCAGTTTCTTCTTCAAATTCTTCATTTCTCACTCTAGAATGGAGTCTCTCTCTCTCTAGAATACAAATCTTAGATTTTTGCACTTGAATCAAGTTTTGTTGTGCACAAATGAGCTTATAAGGCAACTTTATATACTTGTGACGTATTAATACATTAATTAGAGCATTTGGTCCATCCAAACACAACTTTATTAATCGTTCTGAATCAATTTTAATAAAAATTGCCAAATGATTCTAAAAATTCCAAATAACGTATTAATGTAACCAATTCCGATTTCGGATGCCGATAAGGTTTTCAATTTCCATATTAAAGCGGAATTCTAGACAGATATTTCTACAAGTAACGGATAGAAAGCCAAAGATCATGCAAAATACATAATAAACACATAATTTATTTTATCCACTTAATTAACATCCTTAATTACGAATTAGTAGCTAATTGCGGATCGGGTTGTTACACCTAAGCACTTTTCTTACAATTTTTGCAATTGTATATATTTTGCCAATAGAAGTTAAACCATTAATAATATCAGTAAAGCGAGTAACCATTTGAGAAATAGTTTCATAATGCTTTATTTTAAAGATTTCATAACTATGGATCAGCAAACTGACTCTAGATTCTTTAACTTGTTCGATTCCCTTATGAGTCACTATAAGTTTATCCCAAATTTCTTTTGCGGTTTTACATGTGGAAATTCTGTTGAACTTGTTGGCATTTAAGGCGCAGTACAACATGTTTATGGCTTTGACATTAATTTGGGTCATTCTAGTATCTGATTCATTCCACTCATCTTCAGGTTTTGGTATACTAACTCCATATACGATTTTGATAGGAATATTTGGACCATTGCAAACAATTTTCAAGCATTCATAATCATTTTGATTGAATATGTATGGTCATCTTAGTTTTTCAATAGCTAAAATTTGTGCCGCTAGATAGTGGTGGCCTATTGGATGTTTGTCCCTCAGGTAAGGAATAACTAAGGTTTGCCATGATATACTCTAAGATAGTTGAGTCATACAAACTAGAGTCTAGGTTTTGATACCAATTGTTATCCCAGGTAGGCAACCCAAGAGAGGGGGTGAATTAGGTTTTTTAAAAAATTTACAATATTAAATTTTATAAACACAATATTCAGAATTTTACACAAATAAAAAATAGAATAATAATTATCAATATAAAAATAAGAGAGATATGGAAAGAAAATCAAACATTGAGATTTATAGTGGTTCGGCACACCAGGCCTACGTCCACTCCCCAAGGAACCTCCTTGAGAATTTCTTTGCTATGAAAATGAATTAATACACCACCAAGTCTTCACAAAGCTTGTGGATTTTGCACAGGACTTACTCTTATTTATTGAGCCTCACTCAATAATAAATGTCTCACCCTTACAAAATCTCTCACAAAAATAATGAATAAAAATAAGTGGTGCTTAAAACCCTCTTTTATAATAATTATCTCACAAAAAATAGATATGAAAGTGTAAGATCAAAGGCTACACTTAGATTTGAAAGTGAAAGAGCAGAATACAATATACTCAAAATACAATACAATATACTCAAAGGCCACACATTTTAGACTGATCACTATTCATCTTTTGACAAATTAATTGGTTGTATTATTTTGACAAATTTGATATTGATGGGTTGTCTTGTTTTGACAAAATTGATATGAAGTTGTAGGATATATTTAGTTTAAAATTTCTATAGCATATATAATATTTTAAAGAGGGCATATATTTTCAGATCCATCATAAATATTATTTAAAGAGATTTTTCTATGTATGCAAATATTTGATCAGAACATTATATATATAATGCATATAATACAAATAATACAAATATATTAGCAAATAATACAAATATATAATGCATATAATACAAATAGCATACACCGTAGGAGCAATTAGATTTTTTTTTTTAACACAACATTGATTGCATCATATATATTAGTATGTGAAAACATTGATTGTATCATATATATTAACATGTGGAAAGTCATATATGACATAATTTCAATTAACCTTTCTTTTTGCTTTTTTGTACACTTTTGACTAAAGCTTAAAAGTGTTCAAATTTGCAAGATTGCAAATTTTCCTTCCATGTGATTCTCTTCTAAATTGATTTAGCTGACGTCTTGAGGAGCGTCTGTCTCTTCCAACGGGTATATATTTGAGTATAAACATAAGTGTTGTGTATGGAGAAAAATCAAGAACTTGAAGAGAAAAAAATTTATGTGTGCTCTAAAATTTTGAGTATATTATATTCTCCTCTTTCACTTTCAAATCTAAGTGTAGCCTTTATTCTTACACTTTCAAATTTTGAGAGAATTATTGTAAAAGAGGGTTTAAGTACCACTTATTTTTATTCATTATTTTTGTGAGAGATTTTTTGTAAAGGTAAGGCATTTATTGTTGAGTGAGACTCAACTGATAAGAGTAAATCCTGTACAAAATCCACAAACTTGGTGAAGACTTGGTGGTGTATTATTTCATTTTGATAGTAAAGAAATTCTCAAGGAGGTTCCTTGGGGGAGTCGACGTAGGCCTGGCGTACCGAACCACTATAAATCTCAGTGTTTGATTTTCTCTCCCTATTTTTCTTACTTTTATATTGATAATTATTATTCTGTTTTTATTTGTTAAAATTTTGAATATTGTGTTTATAACATTTAATATTGTAAATTTTTTTTAATAACCCAATTTATCTCCCTCTTGGGTTGCCTACCTGAGATAACATTATCATTTAAATTAGATAGAATGACTATATTAAAATTATAGGAACTAAAGTGAAATTTAAAATTATAGAACCATTTGTCAATTTTCTAAATGCACATGCAGACAAACTATAGGAATTAAAGTAAAATTTGGATCAAATTATATGGGTGAAAAATGTAATTAATCAAAGAGTATATGCAAGTTATGCATTTTGTGAGTTTGATTGTCATAAATGCCATAACTCAATGTTACGAGAGTTGTAACTTAAAAAAAAAAGTTATAATCAAATATTACATAAAGTATATAAAATTTTGTGGATCATAATTAAAATAATATCATAGATTTTATCATAACGAATCATAATTAGCATTACAAAAAATGATAACAAAAGCATACAAACCTCGTAAATAGGGATGCTCATTTTCCCCTATTATGTTTCGTACCCGCAATCCTTGGCCCATCCTGTACGAATTTTTCCCGCCCTGATTAAGATGTAAGGCGGGGACAGATTTTGCTTCCACCGCCCCGCCCCGTTCCACCCGAACCCTGCCACGATTATATTTATTAAATATATTTATATGCATATAATATATATAATTTATTTATTTTTCACTATAACATAGTTAAAATAATAAAATATTATACTTAATATTAATTTTTATTCATTTATTTTATATTTTATATAATATAATTCTCATTAAATATAAATTATTATTTGTAATATACTAAATTATCTATAATTTTTATTAATATTTTTATTTTTCAATTTACAAAGTTAATTTGTCTCTCGCTTCACTTTCGTTGCTCCTTAATTTGGCTTACCCCTGATATAATATGGGATGGGGACGAATTTCTAAATAGCAGATCCAAAATCTGACTCGTAACTAGGGGTATATATCACAAATAGGGGTGTAAATCTGACTTGGCCCATGTCGGGCCTTGTTGGCTCCCTCAAAAATTCGGGCCAGGCCGGGCCGACCCACAGATCAAAAAAAATTAGGCACATGTCGAGGGTATTCACGCTATGGGCGGGCTTGACCATTTATTTTTGTTTTTTAAAATTTTTTTTATCAAAATTTTATTATTTTCTACTGGAAAAAATATTGGGCTTTGGGGTGAGTTAGGCATTGAGTGGGCCTTAAAGCGGGCCGGTGGGTTGGGTCACAGGCTGGGCCAAGCTTAAAAATGATGGATCAGATCAAGAGACTCGGGCCTAACTCAAACGAATCTAAACGGGCCGGGCCACATTGGACTAGAGACCATTTTTACAATTTTAATCATAAACGCTCAAATAAATTTTTTTATGATTCATGTAATGAAATTGTTATGAACCACCCGGTGAACCGTCCCCGGTTCAACTCACACATAAACCGGACTACTTATTGCCTTTATATAAAGCACATTCTCTCTCCTCCCCATCCAGTGAAGGTGAGAGAGAGTATCGAGTTGCTATGTCCTGCTAGGGTTCCAAAACACAGGCTCCAAATTCTCTCGATTGAAATTCAAAACTTGCGATTCCAAAAGAGATTATCACACTTTCCCTGTTTCTGATTCTTCTCTCCTTTCCAGGTTCGCTCTATAACTTCTATGCAATAATTAAATTCTCTGTTTAATCTCCCAATTTTCTCTATTGTTTTGATTCGTGTTTTTTTTCTTTTTCTTTTCTTTGTTTGTTTTGATTCGACTCGGTACTGATCTTATGTAGTAATTTTAAGTAATTTGTATAACAACAATCACTGTGTTTTTGTGAATTTCGTTTATTTACACAGTTTTTTTGCAGATCAATTGATTAATGGCGTCATCGCCAGCTTGGTTACAGCAGGAAATGCAGTCTTCTTCAACATCCCAATCCACTGTTTCTGCGTCTGCTGGAGGATCATCGGCTTCCTCACTTGTGGGTTCGAATGGCAGTGATTCTGCTCAAGACCCTTCCCAGCAAGCAAAATTTGGCTATCAACCCACACCCACATCGGCACCCACACCCACATTCTCATACAATGTGATTTTTTTTGGCCATAATTTGTGGAATTATATTATTTTGTAGTATAATTTAATTAATTAATTAATGAATTGGCGGTTTGAGTGCAGGTTATGAAGTCGAATTCACCTGCTTCTTCAGCATTTCACCAACCCATGGTTCCCGGTCCTTCGTTTTCGTACAACATTCCAAATGCTGGGGTTGGAATCCCCAGTAGCGAGCAATCCCAGTCTAGCACAGTAAGGGTCACAATTTTTACAAAAGCGATAATATTGTCAGGTAAACTGTGAGTACCATATGCGGTGGAACAGCAGTACACAGTCAGGGTGGTGGTGTCAATTTGATGAGACCCACCTGGATATGCCAGGTTAATCATCTACATGAAAGATGATCGTAACCTTTCAAGATAGATTTCGCTCTTTATGGTTTAAATACGTGCTGGGCATAAACTTATTATAAGTTTGTTTTCTATACAAAATTGTAGATGAGAATTGGCCTATATGTAACACAGACAGCAGATGAAGGGTGGGTGATGTCTTGTGCAAGCACATGTTTAAAATGAAATAAATATCAATATTTAACTAAATTATATATATACATATAAAAACACATATATCAATATAATTAATTTCTCTCTCTCTCTCTCTCTCTCATTTTGTGAATGGAAGTTGTTTCATGTATTATGCAAATAGAACCGAATCGCTTGAATCGCAATAAATCAATATAAATATATCATGTATTAATATATCAATATAATTAATTTCTCTCTCTCTCTCTCTCCCTCTCTCTCTCTAATTTTGTGAATGGAAGTTGTTTCATGTATTATGCAAATAGAACCGAATCGCTTGAATCACAATAAATCGTAGTGAATCACAATTGAATCGCAAGATTCACTCAATTTAATATTTAATTGCATGAATGAGTTATTTTGCTTGAAACTCGTATTGAATTGTAAGATTTTAACAACCATAGGTTATCGTTATATCAAACGGTGGGTATGCATTTTGTTGAAGAAATGAAGCAGGATACTTTAGCAGCTAAGAAGCATAGACATGAACATGTGACATGCGATGAATATGACATAGACATGCCGACATGACAAATTTCAAAAAATGTAGGACACAATATGTAGGGGGGCTGCACAAAATATATAGTTATAGATTCATCATATTTCATTTATATGAATATAACACTTAAATATTAGAAAAATGTGCAACATAACAATAATTTTTAAAATTTAAAACAGGAGGAATTAATAGGCATAAAATTACATTGTTTTTTATTTTATTATCGTATTCTAAGTTATTTTGTTCAAGCTTATAATTTATTTCACGTGTATCTAAGCATGTGTTTGGGTCTTAAAAAATTAAAAGAATAATAGGACATGCTTGGACAAGTGTCCAACAAATGTCGGAAGTGTCTAATGAGTGTTGGGGTCTGACATGGGCACACGACCTTCTTCGAAGTATCCGTGCTTCTTAGTTTAGCATAGTGTAGTGTGGGGATTAGTGAATTGTAGAAATTCCCACACTCATACTTGCAGTTTTAGGCTCAAAATATTTTATATTATATAAAAGAACTTGAGGAAAGCTACTGTGGCATAGTGGTTCTTTATGTGAGAGCATAATTATGTTCAAGCCTCCTCTATGTTCAAAGTGCATGATCTATCTAGAAAGGTAGCTTACCACTAGAAGTGTTGAAATCTCAACTTTGACTGAGAAAGACTGAGGATAAAAGCCGTGACACAATCAAATATGTTGTTTGAAAAGTTAAATATGCAATTTGATTTGATCAATAAGTGGATTGTCATGGATTCCACTGAACCCCCTAAGCTATAGATTGAAAGGAAATATGCCCCTCTATGAAGTGGATTAGGGATAGGATTGAAAGGAAGTTATATTTTCCGTACAACTATAAAGGAATCAAGCTGATGTGTTATATAATGAAAGTGTGGGTGAAAGTGATGAAATGTTGATTGCGAGATATAACAGGGGTGTTGGAGAATCAATTTGGATTTATACCTGGTAGGTTAATAGTGGAAGCAATCTATTTTTTGAGGAGAGTAATAGAAAAGTATAGAGAAGGAAAGAGGCAGTAGTATGGTTTTTATCGATCTTGAGAAAACATATGATAAAGTGTCCCGAGATATAATCTGGTGAATGTTAGAGAAGAAAGGGGTGATAAAGGTTACATTGTTGTGATTAGGGAGATGTATAAAGGTGTGGTGACCAGAGTGTTATTAAAAGCAATAAGCGCACCAAGGCGCCAAGGTCTCCTGAGGCCTTAGGCGCGGGCTTCATCGAAGTAAGGCGCACCATGGTAGGTTGAAATAATATAATTTAATATGAGACATATAAGCAAATAACTAATTGGTTTAACATAAACAAAATGAAACGTTGAACATTTTAAAAAATAAATACCAACAAATATCGCTATTTAACATAGCCAAATGAGTAATATTCTAAAGTTCAACATTTAACACGAATATTCACGATCTAAAGGTCAACTAAATCGACAATATTAGGATGTATATTTTAAGGATATGATCTACTGTAGCTGACCCATGTAATTTTAGTGGTCTAATTCAAATAAAAAAAAAAAAGCCATCAAGGCTTGCGCCTTGGGCTTAATTGCGCCTTGTTCCATTCGTGCGCTTTAATCGCGCCTTAGTGAAGTCGCCTCGCCTTGACCATTGCAAGGCACAGGGGGTGGGCATGGCTGGGACTTGCGCCTAGGCGCACTTTTAATAACATTGGATAACCACTATTAGATCGCCTGTTGGAGAAACAAATGAATTTCCAATTCCTGTGGGGTTACTCTAATGATCAACGTTGAATCTTTATCTTTTTGTTTTAGTTATGAATGAGTTGACAAGAAATATTCAAGATGATGTGCCATACTGTATGCTTGTTGCAAATGATATCGTGTTAGTGGATGAGATTAGAGAAAGAGTTAACATTAAGTTGGAGACTTTGGAGAGAAACACTTAAATTTAAAGGATTTAGGATAAGCAGAATTAAGACAGAGTACATGGAGTGTAATTTTAGTAACAGTAACAAATGAAGCAGAAGAGAAGTGAAGATTGAGAACCAAGAACTATCTAAGAGAATATTTTCGTTGTTTAGGGCTGGTTTGGCAACCCTTGAAAAAGTCAAAAAGTTAGCCAAAAAGTTAAAAATTTATCACTATTCACAAAAAAAAAAAAATTAAAAAATAATATACAAATATTAACACAAATAAAAAAAACCCCCCAAGATTGGTATTGACGTGATTAGGGCTGTGCAAAATACCGTCTAATCCGCTAAAACCGCACTGATTCGCACCGCTCTAACCGTTAACCGTGGTTTAAACTTTAAAATTTATAATTCGCCAACCAAACCGCTCCGCTCCGCTCCGCTCTAGTTAATACATATATATTTTTAACTTCTAATAAAATATCAATGTAAAAATGAGTGTAAGAGAGATTTAAGATATGAAATTTATTACAAATTAGTAGTTATATATATGGAACATCTTATGTAAAATTACTTTGTGTTATATATCTAAAAAATATTATACAAATTAGTGTTATATATTATGCAAATGTATGATAATTAGTTAGAATATTCTTCAATTCGCTAAAAATCGCCCAAATCGCAATTTGTCAATCCGCTAACCCGCCATTCGGTTTGTAATTTTCCTCTCAAATCGCTTGAACCGCACCGCGCACACCCCTAGACGTGATGGTGGAGCCAGTGACCGGGGGAAAAAATAAAAATAAAATATTCACTAAATTGGATGGTAAAGTTGGGCCCGTGGGGGCCACCATGAGTATCGTTTTGATAATCTGAACCGTTCAATATGTAAAATTCGTCTAGTACTATATGCCTGTAAAAAATTATGTCTATCGGATATCGCTAACTACATGATCAAATCAGTTTTGTATAAAAATGAATAGTGTTATAGTTAACAGTTAACAAAAAAAACTAATATGATTAGATAGCTATCGATATCCAATCAACGTGATTTTTTACTAGCATATAGTACTCGACGAGTTCTACACATTGAACGGTTCCAATTAGAAAAACGGGACCTGTGGTGGGCCCTCACGAGCCAAACAACACCATCCAATCAAAGCCTGAGAAGGAGACAATATTTTCTTATCTACTCACTAGCCAGTCACCACTGCCATTCCGTACAGCCTCATACCCTATCTTCTCCTACACATTTATTTATACAATTTTTTAATACACATTTTTTCATAAAAAGTTAAAAAGTTAACCCAAACATATATATTTTTTTCCTCAACTTTTTAGTCTAAAAAGACAAAAAGTACACTTATTTAGGACACCCCAAATAACCCCTTAGGATCGATTATCATAACGGCTGGGGAGATTGGAGCTAATGTAGTCCATATAATTAAGAAAGGGTGGCTTAAGTGGAGGAGTGCGTCTAGGGTACTGTGCGATAGACTAAAAGGAAAGTTCTATAGAACGGCTATTAGACTAGCGATGTTATATGGGACGAAATGTTGGGTAATTAAGAAACAACATGTAGATTAGATGAGTATTACTGAGATGAGAATGTTAAGATGGATGTGTGGCAAGACTAGTAAATACAGAGGTTGGAATGAGTATATTCGTGAATGGGTAAGAGTAGTACTAATAGAAGATAAGTTGATAAAGAATAGACTGAGACGGTTTGGTCATATATAACGGAGACCAACAGAGATAGTAGTGAAGAGATGCGATACAGTGACGGTAGATAGAAGTGTTAGGGGGAGGGGCAGACTTAGATTGACGTGGTCTAGTGTAGTAAATAGATATATGAATCTCCTTAATTTGACTAACCAAATGGCTGTTGATAGAGTCAAGTGGAGAAGAAGGATTCATGTAGCCGACCTCATTTGATAGGATTTTAAGACTTGGTTTGGTTTGGTTTGGTTTGGTTTGGTTTATAAGTTATATGGTGGCCCAGGGCTGTAATTCTTCTTCTTCTTCTCTCTCTCTCTCTTCATTTTTTCGCCCCTGAAATAACCAGTTGGCACCTTGATCTTCTGACAACTTCTTGATATGAGAAAAGCAAAGAGGCCCAATAATTTAACATTCCTTCCATTATTTTTACAAATTGTTTACTGCAATATCATAGTTTAGTTTAAAAATTGTTTTTGATTTGAGGCATCAAGAGGCAAGCCATAAGCTAAACAGCACATGATGTGTGCAGCCTTTGTCACCTCCCTTGCAAGAAAAAAATTATGGCCCAATGGCAGGTTATATACCATCATATGGACAGCATACACCACCAATTTGTTGGATATGAACAGTTTGCCTAGACATCTTTGTATTGTCGTCTTATTTCATTAATTTTTGTGGTAAGCTTATTTCATTCTTGTTTTGTTTCTGGCTTTTGTTGTTAATGCTGTTTGTTGTTTTTCTTGTTTAATTTTAGTTAATGTTCTGGAATTGGAGTTTCCAGTTGGGCCATGTCTCTTAACTGGATGTCATTATAAGTCATCACAATTTGGGAGTTGATTATACTCGATGTTTTGAGAGTTTTATATTATATCCTTACTGGAGTACTTTACATGTTTGTGATGTTTTCTTTTGTCAAATGACAGCCAGTTGCTCCTCAAGCAGGACAAAATTCTCCAACTGCTGCAGCATCCTTACAACCTCCTGTTCCTGGGCAGTCTGCACATCCTAATTCATTCCCACCTGGCATGACTACACAAATTATGCCATCTCCAGTTCCCTCGGTTGTTTGTGCCCCAAAAGGAGCCTCATCAAATTCTATGAGTTATTCTTTTAATGGGAATCATCACTTGATGCAGAGTGATCAATCCATGAATTCTGTATGTGGATTACCTAAAATTTTATATTGAAGTTTGTACAGAGTTGGTGTGCATGGAAACTGCAGTGAGTCTAAATTAAAAACTATACATAGAGGTTAAATTTACCATTAGCCGTTTGCTTGAGTTGAGTGTCCTTTCACTGCCAAATAGGGACATGCAGGGTTCAAAACTTACTTGGAAACTTTGCTGTGCACATGTATTTAGTTGTGAATTTACTAAGGAAATCTGTGTTTAGTTTTTCTCTCTTGTGCTTCAACTTTGGCATGCTAATAACTAGGATACTTACCTTACAATTGGTGCCTATGAAAAAAGGCATAAAACTTGTTTTGAATAAGCTGTTTTAAAATGAGCACAAGTGGTGTCCTACTAAATGAGGTTTCATTATTGAGTCCTGATCTTTTGAAGAATGATTGCCTTGTATTCATAATCTGATAACTAATAGAAGTTATGAACAATTGCGATGCTAAGTGATTACTTGACCATGCCTGGTTGATTAATTTTTTTTGGGGCCATACCTGAACGTATAATGGTTTTTTTTGGATTCCTACTGATGGCAGAATTCTTCGGTTGATATTGCACAAGGAACTGGAACTTCATCATTTTCACCATCTGTCTCTGAGTCTTTTTCACAACCTGCTCACACTACAAGTTCTGCAACAGCTGCGTCTTCATCTCATAACTTGGGCCCGTCTACTTTACGGATACCCACTGCCCCATCATTTCATGTGCCTCCAGGCATGTCTGGAACTCCTGCAACACCTGGCCCCCCTGGAATATCTTCTTCTGCACCATTGCCATCGAATCTGACTGTCCCATCTGCAGTCATAGATTCTTCCTCTTCTGCACTCCTAAGACCCATTATGCCGGCTGCTCCTGTTCCAATAAATCCAGCCATTCAGCATCAAGCATATCCTCCCTATCCATCTGTACCTCCTGTGGCTGCTCCCTCTCATGGACTGTGGTTGCCACCCCCACAGTTGAGTGTCTTGCCAAGAGCTCCATTTCTACCATACCCTGCTGCTTTTCCTGGTCACTTTCCTTTGCCTCCTCGTGGTATGTCTCTTCCGTCTATTCCCTTGCCTGATGCCCAACCTCCTGGTGTCACTCCTTTGGGAACTCCTGGTGGAACCCCCACAATCTCTATGGCTTCTGGTCCTCTGTTGACAACTGGTTCAGGGATGCAGCAAGAATCACCTCCAGGAATTGGTATGTTTAAAATCTGTGTGAAGAATTTAATACACTGATATCCCCCGATTTTTTATTTTATGCTAAGCAATACATGGGGTTTGCAGATAATAGTAAGCATGTCAATCATGTTGGGTTCAAGGATGGAGCTGCAGTTAGCGAACAACTAGATGCTTGGACGGCCCACAAGACTGAAACAGGAGTCGTGTACTACTATAATGCTTTAACTGGAGAATCTACTTATGAGAAACCTGAAGGTTTTAAGGGAGAGGTATAAGTAGTATTTAAATATTTGCTTATTTTGCATGATTCTTTTTAATTCGTTTTTAATTGTAGTTGTTGCAATCCAAAACATAATGCTAAAGCACGATGGAAATCAGAGAATTCCACGGGCATTAATAGAGTCACACATATTATCTTTCTGCTTTCTGTCCCTGGATATGACTTTTACTGATGAATTAAACATTTCTTTTTAGTTGTTTTCCACCCTTGAAATACATGGAAGTTCAAACTTATTTTACCAGGCTCTAACTAAAATCATCTCTCTCTGTCTCTCTCTCTCTCTCTCTATTTGTATATATACACACCTGCTCTGTGCTCTGCCATGTGTGTTTTAATATTTGTCTCATCAAAATATTGTCGTGCCACCTGATATACTAACCTATTCTATTTTTTTTTTTTAAATTATATTATACGAGTGCAGCCTGATAAAGTAACTGCCCAGCCAACTCCAGTTTCATGGTGAGTTCTCTTTATTTCTCGGGGAATACTGATTTGTCACTATCAAATTTGTTTTGCTGTCAAAAAAGAATAAGCCCTAGAATTGAGTGAGTCAACTGCTTAGTTATTTGGTACTTTCTTTTCACATGTTAGAGTTGGATTGTTTATCACTGCGAATTTGCTATTTAATGGTCTGAAAAAAGAATGTAATTGATGGTGATATTTTGGTAGGTTAAACTCTGCAAGGCACACATAAACACATGTGCTTATATTAACGGAAAATACAGCAGTATATATTATCCTCTGCAGGTTTTAGGAGTGACTATGCTTGGAACATGTCTTTGGTGGCCTTTACAATTGTCATGCATGAATTATATTTACATATTACAGAACATGTCTCTCTTTCAAAATTGTCAAAGTTCCATGAAAATTTTCATCTTGAGAATGTAATACCAAATTTTCATGCTTTTATGCAATTTTAGTTGATTTTGGGAAGAAGTATAGTATATACTGCATTATCCTTTGTTAATTTTTGTAACATTTTGTTTTCCTTAACAATATTTCTTCTAGCACTTCTGTTTTGTCTCTAACTTAATTCCAAGAGATCTTTCCTATCTCGAGAAAATGTCTTAAAATTTGATCCTCCCCCCCCTCCCACCTTTCCTAAAGTGTGTGTGTGTGTGTATGTATTATTGTTTTACTTTTTAACATATATATTGTTGTCATGGTTAGGGAGAAGTTAATTGGCACAGATTGGGCGTTGGTCACCACAAATGATGGCAAAAGATATTATCACAACACTAAAACCAAGGTATGATAAATTAGCTTATGCTTTGCTGCTATTGCTGTTGCTTCTTTTTTCTGCTTCCCTTTTAGTATAATTGTTCGATGTTGCATTTTGTTTTTAATCTTATGAAACCTATTTTGATATCAATTGGCTTCTGAACATAATTTGTTCTAGAAATTATCATTATTAAGATGTTTTTGTCACTTTCTTCTACTATATTGAGGTTGTATATGATGCATTTATTTATTATTTTATTGATGGTAAAAAAAGCTATAGTTTCTTAAGTGATAAATGGTTACATACATACTTTTGTATCTTTATCAAAATTGAAGCAACTTCTTTCTCGAGGATTATTTTACCTTATCTTAATTCAAGGAGTTGCTTGCCTTGGTAAGTTCTGATTGGTAGTGCCTTCTTTGTCAAGTGTGTTCATTTTCAACATCGTGTAGACTTTCTTCTCTATCATGATTCAAACAATCAGCCTTGGCACTGCCAAATTAAGTTTTATCAGCAGGCTGGAGCCCCTAAACTACAAGCCTGAATGCTCCTACCAGTATAATTTTTAAAATGAAAGCAGGTTTTCCTATTGATCACTACTCTGCCACTGGAATTTGATCAGGGGAATAGAGACAACGATAAGAGATCATACTGAGTGGAAAAATAATTCCATACAGGCGCTACTCTTAATTTGAACGACCTGAAAAAAATGCTATCTTTTTTGTGTACAACAAGATCAAATCTTTTTATCGATATGCTTTTGATTGCTCAAAGTGTGGATTGACTAGCTCAACTTCTTTCATCTTTCCCAACTTGCTTTTCACTCTAAGCTTTACTCGCTTTCAAAAGTGTGACATTCAATAACAATAAAGCCATTATTGTGGGTAGGTAAAGAGCATCCAATGCAAAGCAGCCTTTGTGCAACCCCTCCCCCCCACTATGGGCGGCTCAATGGGGGGCCAGAAAGCATCTTTCATTTTTCCAATTTCAGCCCTTACCGCCTTCCTTAACAAGCTCTTGGGCCTTCTTTGAGCCACCTTTGCCATAGAAGCCACTGGTTCACCTCGAAGGCCAAATTCTATGGTATAGAAGGCTGTAATAGTACTAATCTAGTGTTGGTCTTGCCAATTGGGTTATTGAGAGGAATGCATTGGCTCCTATTCGAATACTTGAATTTGCATTCTCCCGCTTGACATCCCAATTGTGGTAAGATTGTTTGTTTTAAGTAAAACAATTATTATGAGGGTTAATATTTGATGCTTGAGATCTCTAGAATGCGGATTGTTCTAGTGGTTGAGATGGGAACGTGTATATGCTCTAAAATGTGGTACAATATAGGTTGACTTGTATGAATTACTCTTTTAGAATTTAAGATATTTCCAAAACAATTTTTTTTTGATAATTGGGCATTCATTAAAATATATTATTAGTGATAGTTGGTCATACCATTTGCTTGTAGTTGAAAGATTTGATTCCTTTGAGAGACTTTTTGTTAGTAGATTGCTTTTTAACCAGAGGGAGGAGGGGAGTCTAATCGGGTCTCAATCTTCTTTGTGATCTACTCCTCTTTCACTACTCTTCTTTTATCATTCAATTATTTTTTTCTCCATTGAGTCCTATTTGTTGTCCTTTTCTTGTACTCTTTTCATCATCTTCATCTCTGTTACTTTCATTTTTCTTCATGCTTTGTTTTAGTATTCTGGTTACAATAATGAGGTTATACAAAGATAGAGCAAGGGAATTGAAGATTGAGCAGAAAATATTTATAATTCAGGTTGATGAGGATTCCAAAGGTGAGTTAATTAAAATAACTGAGCGAAATAGGTTCATTGTTTGGCTTAGACTTGCAAGGAGGCTATGAAGTTTCTTAAGGATGGATATTTGTTCAAGAAGCACCGGAGTAGTAGGTTCATATTTCGGGCTGAGATTTTTTCAAATAACAGATTTTTTTTTGAGTTTTCGATGTGGATGTGGTCAGAAAAATCTGATATTATCATTCTACAGGATGTCAGTTAAAAGGATGGTTGGTTATGGCTGATTTTTTCCATCCAGTTCAGTTTGGGAAATGAGTTTCCAATGGAGATAATATTGTGGAGGAAGGAAGCAGGGGAGGGACACCACAGAATTCCAGTATAAAAAAACAGGGCAAAAAGAGTATATTTATATTCAGATTTTTAAAACCCACGTGTGAGGGATGCTAGGGGTTTATCAAGGGGAGGGGATTGGGATTGTGCTAGAAAATTTACACGATTCTTTGATTCAGATTCAGAAGGCTTTGGTTAAGCAGTTTGAGAAACGTTTCTTTTGTAAACCAAAGTGGTTTTATTCTGTAATGGTTGGAAGCAGGCCAAGGACTTTGGAGGTCTTGGGAAATAGGTTTTTTTAGAAGGCTCGGTTGTGGTGGGAATAGAAAAGTTGAAACTAGAATTCTAAGTGATGCATGTGTATTTACTTACTGGAAAACGGAGGTTTTTAAAAAGATAGGCAAGGCTTACGGTGGCTTGGTTGATATTTGATCAGAGAACCAGAGGTTTTTCCAACCTGTTTGAGGCTCAAATCAAATTTGAAGAGTCTGAATTAGTTTTCATTCTGGCAATCATGTTCATTTCTGTTGATGGAGTCACTATTCCAGTGAAGTTGATGATAGTGTCAAATCCGAAAAGGGACAGAGGTGATGGTTGGGGTGAGGTTTTGCAGTTGTGGTTGTACAAAGTCTTCATACACTCATTGTGAGGTTGAAGACGATGGAAAATTAGAGAAGGGTGCTTGGGTTCAAGTCTCTCGGTTGCATTTAATATTCTGTCCCTGTTTGGTTTCTCCCTCTTTGTTGCTTCTCTTTCTGTTTGGTTCTCTGTTTGTCTCTACACATGCAAGACGAGGTTGTACGCAAGGGAGGGTGTTAGATAGCTTGATATACATTGTTGGGTCAATTTCCTAATAGCTTAAGCTTTTGGGAAAATTGGTGACTTAATAGGTGCATGTGGCAAAAAATGGGTTAGGAAGAATGTTGGCCCTGATACTAATGCAAGTGATGCTATGTTGATGTTCTAGTTAATGAGGGTGTTAGGGATGTTTGTGATCCAAATGTCGAAGAAACGCCATTTTATTGCATGCTAACAGGAGTTGTGTGGGAAAAATAGATTGGTCATTTCACCCTACATGAGAAGTGATGAGGTTCTTTTGGTTGTTGGGAGCTGCTCAATTGTTTTTTGTTGTTTATTTCTACATTTTTTTTTGTGGTTTATTTCTTTCCTTTTTCAAATTGGCTTGCTCTTTTTGACAAAGTATCTGTTCCAGCTTGTCTGCTCTTCTTTGTCTTTGAGAAGCTTCTCACCTTCATTGCAAAACCAGAAAAATATTGATGAATACTTTAGAATCAAAAATTAAAACTTCAGCTGATTTAGATATTTTCTGCAGCTATTAACGATCATGTAATAAGACATAATACATGCCAAGACCCAAATCATGGCCAATAGACCACCAGGAACAGCCCACTACCTGCAACTGTAGAAATTATAAAAAATTTGAAAATACCCTCAACACACAAAGCACAAGTAAACATAAATAAGAGATTGACTAGATCATAATAACTTAAAATAAAAATAAGACAGATTTCTCAAAAAAAAAAAGCAGAGAAAAGACAAGGCTCACTACTGTGGACTCTTATTTTATTTTATTTTTTATACTGGAATATATTCGGGCCTAGTGTTAAGTTTTAGGCCTCCAAGATATAACCAAGCGATGGTAACATATTGTTCTCTTATTAGGCATTTTCTGCCCATGGAATGACTGCTCATAAAAGGTTGTCGTCATAAAGGATATGATTAACAACTTGAAGTTGCACATTATCCCTTTCCTGGAGTAGATCTGGGGGGAAAAGTGTCGCTAAATAAATACCGTCCGTTATTTCATATGTGACTACAGGTCGAACCAAAACAAAATACTTTTTCTTGGTGGGTGTGATCCGTTGGACATAGATCCAATTTTTGGATGCTTTAGCATTTTTTTTTCCTATTCCTGGTGGTATCAAGATGCCACTGTGTCGGGATATCTTATCTGTCTCTCCAGGAAAATGGAGATCTCCAGAAAAGATTTTAAGCTCAATTCTTTTTTTTTTTCCTTTCCACTCGGACTAAGTGTATGTAGGGGGTTGATGATTAGAATTGAAAAATAAGGGACAATGTTGGATTTGGAGTAAAGTGCAGGGATGCAAAATGTGTTTAAGCCTCACTTTTAAGTTAAATTATTGAGTTCTATTAACAGATTATTTGTGGGTTTTCAAGTTGATTTCTTTATGTATCTTTGGTTGAAAAGTTTGATCAGATGGTTGCGTTATTGTCTGGATTGATCCTCTTGGATTTGTTACAGATCTTTAATGATGCTTATTAAATTACATTTTTTCATTGTTTTCTTGATCAGTTGAGCAGCTGGCAGATTCCAACTGAGGTTACGGAGTTGAGAAAGAAGCAGGATGGCGATGCTTTAAAAGAAGAATCAATGTCAGTGCTAAGTACTAATGTATTGACTGAAAAAGGATTTGCTCCTATTAGTTTGAGTGCTCCTGCTGTTAATACAGGTGGTCGTGATGCCACAGCTCTTAGAGCTCCTGCCGTGGGATCATCATCTGCCCTGGATCTGGTAAAAAAGAAGTTGCAGGACTCAGGAGCTCCTGCTACTTCATCACCTGTTTCAGCTTTGTCTGGACCAGTTGCATCAGAATTGAATAGCTCAAGAGCAGGTGAGGCTACTGTTAAGGGCCCGCAAAATGAGAACAGCAAAGATAAGCAAAAAGATACTAATGATTGTAATATGTCCGACTCCTCTTCTGATTCTGAGGATGTGGATAGTGGACCAACGAAGGAGGAGTGTATCATCCAATTCAAGGTAACTAACAGAAAATGATTTGTTTATGGGTGAAGGACAAATCTATTCATTGATCACTTCCTATATTGGCGCCAACTTGATTTATGCTACTTTTGTGAAGCTAACCTGCAAAATATGGGCCCTTACATAAAAACGTATAACTGCAGTTGAACTTGTTGCAAAAATTAGTATTACTTGATCCCTCAGTTTGAAACTTATGTGACTTTCTTAGCTTTTGTTATTCTTAGATCAGCTGCAGCAAAATATAAAATTTTAATTAAAACCTTGGGTTAAATGAGTCTTTACAGAAAAAAATATTTAAATAAATTGATGTACTTCTCAAATTGACAAAGTTGGTTAGCTGGGACATATATTGATTCAATCTTATAGCATTCTTTTTGTGAAAATAACAAAAGCTTTTTTTAGACAACTCACTTTCCTGCAACTGCTGTTGTTCAAACTTGTAGCTATTGGTAGGTGTATGATGATCCTGAGTCAAGCTGGTATGCGCATTTACAGTGTGAACATGTTAAACCTTACAGTTGTCTCCGAATGCTCTCCTAAAAGTCGATAAAAGAAAAGGCCGATCCATAAAACTCCATCTTGAGCCAAAAATGAAAGCAATCAAGTTTGATGACTTGAATCTATAAATTATTGACTCGAAATCCTCAAAGGTGTGCTGGTTCATCTCTCACTGTACATACCACATAAAGCAAATTGCCGCCACCTATCATGCGTTTTCATCCTCTTGGAACTAAATCTGTCAGACCAACAGTTATAGAATTGGATAATCTAAACTGGTCTTACCTGTGATACTCCAGAAAACAGAAAGTAAAAGGCTCAACAAGTCTATAGTCACGTCACAATGAAGCAGCAAATGATTTTCTGATTCTTCTGCTTTTTGGCACCCAATGCACAAATTAAGGAGCTCACAAGCCAGCCTGTGTAGAACTGCTGTCGGAAAAAATGACAGCTTAGTAAGCGCCTTGGATTAAACAAGCTCATCCGGGACATTGTCCATTAACCTCTCTACTTAGCGAAATTTGATAGGATTTCACCGAAAAGCAACCGCCTCTATCTTTCCATGTCATCTCATTCTCCCTTCTCCTAGATACCTTCACTGTATAGTGAAGCTCAAAAGAAGCATTAACTGCCTCAAATTCCTAACCTTGGGCAGCCCAAATGAACCAAGGCTCCCACAGCTTCACCCACTTTTTAATTGTGTTTCTCATTTCCCTACTTATTCTCTCACACATGCATGCACTTGCATCATAACTGACCATTCTAGTATGTATATATATGCATTTTTTTTTTTAAAAATTTAAACTTTAGCCTTATAAACTCAATTTTTTGTCCAAGAATGTAATTTAAATGCATAGTTTATGTAAAAGTGTGATGAAAAATGTGGAAATGTGATTATGTGAATTTTATTGCCCTTAAGGTTTCCTTTTCCCATTTTACAAATTTTTAGAACATTATATTTCTGCTGTCGTTATCATGTCCTCTGCTTTAGAATCATGAATGTGCCTCAATAGAAATGAAATGCCTGCTGATTAATTATTTATTACGTGTAAATTTTCTAGGAGATGCTCAAGGAACGTGGAGTGGCACCATTCTCAAAATGGGAGAAGGAACTTCCGAAGATAGTTTTTGATCCGCGTTTCAAGGTTTGTTGAGTCTAAAGATATTGCATTACTTTGTTCGGGATTTAGGGACCTTTTCTACCACTGGAACTCCTTGAAACAGGTTTGTTAGGCTCATGTTTCTGCTTGCCTGTATGAGTGTGCACTTGTTTATGTGTTTTTCTTCTACTGTCATTTGTTTAACATGGGAGCTTCTATTTTCACCCAATATTTCGTCTTAGTGCACACATCTTTTTGATTCGGAAATCAGCTTTTGAATAAAACTATTTGGTTCAGAAATCAACTTCTGAACAAAACTATTTTGGTTCGGTTATATGTTTGGTTCGGAAGTTGATTTCCAAACCAAATAGTTTTGTTTGGAAATCAACTTTTGAACCAAAAATTTGGGAAGTAAGGGTTGTTTTGGGAATTGGCTTTTTTAGTGTTTTTTGATTTTTTACAAAAAGATGTGAAAAAAGCGAAGAGAATAGTTTACTTTCTTATATTGGCTTTTTAACTTTTTGGCTAAAATTTCATGTTCCCCAAGCAGCCTTGTGTGAATTAAGATAATGTGGTGTATGGAAATAGAAGCTCCCGTTTAACACTGGTAAAACAGTGTTCAAGCCTGCTTTTGTGTTTGTATTTATTTAGCATGTTTTGAGAGTAGGGATGGCCATGCGCCAGTTCTTGCCAAGGTCGAGTTTGATCCCAACCAAAGTGATACGGGTTGTGGGAATTGGACCACCGCTGCCTGAAATGTGGGTCACATGTGCAGGGGTCAATCGGTTATGCGGGTGGGTCCAGATCTATTGGGCGGGTTGGGCTTTTGCTTTTCTTTAGATTTGTTTGGCTTTTGTTTTGGACAAATTTTGTTCTTGGGCTTGTTCACTACCATTTATTCAGTTTTGATAGGCCAAAACATGTAAAATTATTAGCCATAATATTTAAAAGCTCTACACATTTAAAATTAATAACTCAAAGCATTAAAAATTACCAGATGAAAACACACCAAAATCAATCTCAACAATGCCTAGCAACCAAAACACATGTACAAATAATAGGCTTAAAACAAAACAATGCCCAACAACCAAAACACATGTAAAAATAACAGGCGTAAAACAGTTAATAATGTAAGGACAAAAAAATAAAATTCACACAAAAATCAATCCCCATCCATCATCCAAAATCCATAGTTTACCTAAAATTCTATTAAGTTTTACATTCAGCCAAAATGCGATAATAATAATAAAACACTAGTCAGGAACTGAAATGATATGTTCTCAAACTTCATCCAAAATCCATATAATAACAGAAATACTTACAAGCTTCACTACATTCGACTATCCGCAATGAACCTTGCACAGAAAAAACATACGATTTGTCTAGTCTTCAATCTTTATGAAATTGTCCAAAATATCAGCCTACATATACAAGATAGCATAGGTAGAAGAGACAAGAGAACTATCTTTTGATATCCTAATATAAATAATTTGAAACTCGAGAGGTTAAACATAAATATAGATAGCTTTAAATTTGTTCATTACTGTTGAAGTTTTGCAATGCCAAAAAATTGATATCCACCCTTTATGAACCAAAAAAAACAAATTACAAGGAATGCAAAGCACTAAACCACAAATAGTACAAAAGATTAGAAGACTGTTCAAAGGGCCAGACATCAAGCATGATAAATTTATTCTCAACACAATATATCAAAAAACACTATAAATCACCACAAAAAAAATAAAATAAAAAAATAATAAAAAAATAAATAAATAGGAGCAATGGTCCACAATAAATAATTCCTTTTACAAATTCAGGATTCAAAGTAAGGCTAAGAATAAAGAGGTGGAAATATAGATAGTGTGAGGTAAAATGAATGTACATGTTGCATCTCAAGCTAGCTACAAAATGTGTGACTTACCAATTGACATTTAAGTTCAATCATAGCATCTACATTAGAGCATCTACATTAGAGCTTGGGCTTGGAGATTAACTTGACTCCAAAGTACCTAAACATGAGTCAATAAGAGAAGATAAAATAAAACTTGCATAGTAAAGATAACAATAGAATTAAAAATGAAGATAAAATCACATATTGCTTGAGTCATATTGCTCAAATTCCTCCATATCATCCATCCTCTTTCAAAGAGAAATTGGAAGGTTGCTTCTAAAGCCAATTTTGAGTACATATAAGAGCTTCAACCATGGAAGGGTCGAGTGAACTACGGAACGGATCTATAATGTCTTCCGGTAGAAATGGGCATGGCAAAAAAAAAAAAAAAGGGAAGAGGAGTGTATCTGCTTTTTATTTTATTTTATTGTGTTTCAGGAATGCATATTTCTTATGTTACCCTTTTTGGGGTTTAGGTGAGGCTTTAACTTTTGGTGTTGTAGGATTAGAATTTTTAATAATGTCATCCTGTGTCAAGTCACTGTTTGAGGCCCAATTATTATATATGGGGTGGGATTGTAAGACTGCTAAAGATTTTTTTTTTTTTTTTTTTTTTTTTTTGCATTAATGGACTACTCACATTTCTGGAGGAGCTCATTGTGGATGGACATTTTCTTGTTGTTGGAAACCTGAATAAAAATTATTAATGGCTTGCGCAGGGATAGAAATAAGATAAACACTCCTGTTTCTGCCATACTACTTGGTTTTGGTTACTCATATCTGTTAAAACTTCTTTCCACTCTGTTGGGGCTTGGATGAAGCAATAATCCTTAATGCCATATGATTAGAGTTTTTTAGCCTCACACATATTATGCAAGTTCTTATTTGAGCCCAATGATTATATACATTTTGTTGGGATTTCAACATACCCCATCTATAGATTGATTTTTTATTGGAATGGTGTCATTTTGGGAGAAGTTCCCTGTAGATGAACATCAGTTGCAAATAATTGTTTCAAAATGTGACTATTATCTCTTGTGAGGTATATTTCCAACATTATGTTCGTAATACCTTTACTTTTTAGGTGCATCTTGTAATGACAAACACGTTATGACTCTCTGCCTTTTGCTCGTTGATATTTTTTCTGTTGATTGTATTGTGGTGCATTCATGCTTCATCATTGAGGGTAGAAAGAGGAGCTGGGGTTCTCTGTGATTGTATTAGAGAGTTAATTTGTTACTGTTTGTCTTACTGTGGTGGTTGTTTAATGTTGCAGGCTATTCAGAATCATAGTGCTCGGAGAGCCCTATTTGAGCACTATGTTCGTACACGAGCTGAAGAAGAACGCAAGGAAAAACGAGCAGCTCAGAAAGCTGCAATGGAGGGGTTCAAGCAGTTGTTAGAAGAAGCAAAGGAGGTTTAGTGCAATTATTTTAACCATAGTGTCTGTGAGAAATCTATTATCACCATATCTGTCTGGTTTTTGTATGGTGGAGCTTTAGATTGCTTTCTAACCAGTTTATGTTTTTCAGGATATTGATCACAACACTGATTATCAAACATTCAAAAAGAAATGGGGCCATGACCCGCGGTTTGAGGCCTTAGAACGAAAGGAGCGTGAACTTCTATTGAATGAAAGGTATATCACCAAAGAGAATCTTGTAACTTGGAAGAGACATTAGTTTAGTATATCTGATCCTTTTGTAGTTATAGTCTAGATGCTAAGGGAAGTACCTAGGAGATATGCTTTACCTTTGATCATCTAACTGATGATGTCAATCTGTGTAGTTGGGGGCATTATTTCACAGTCCAAGTTCTTTAGCTTGAAACCAGCCTCTTCTGTACCAATGCAAGAATAGCAAATAGGGACGTGAAATAGATGGGAAAACTCGCCAAAGTCTTTTAATATGATTAATTTTAGGGAGACTTACGTGTAAGTTTTAATAGGTGGACTTATTGTCCAACAGGTCCTATGATAATTAATGATATTTTTCATCAAACACTATTAAAAAAGTCACTAATTGTTAATTTTCAACGACAATTTGAAAATTGTCACTAATTATAAGTTTTAGCGATAGTTTAAAAAAATTGTCAAAAAAAAGGTCACTAATTTTTGACTTTCAGCGACAGTTTGAAAATTCGTCATAAAAAAAGGTCATTAATTATAAGTTTTAGCGACAATTTATAAAAATCGTGACAAAAAAGTCACTATTTGTCAATTTTTAGCGACATAAAAAAAAAGTCACAAAAAATAATTTTTAGTGATGATTATACTATGACTTATTTTCAATAAGACTTAATGAGAAGTAAGTTCAAATATTAGGACCTATTAGTAATTTAGCTTTAATTTTACCTCCCCTTTCCTCTCCTACCAGCGAGTCTCTTCTGAAAAAACACTCACAACTCCATCCCACAGTGTAGTTGCCTTGTTTGATGATCTCAGAGGAAGGCTCAAATACACCAAAGCAAAGATCCTACTATGAATCCCGAAGCCTCTGCCAACAACTACATATTTTAAATTTCTCCGTTGGAATGAGTCACTTCCTAGTGTTAACCTTCAATTCTAACACAGCGTCAAAGCAAATTTAAGTACACTGCAACTACCTCAACTGTACAACATCCAGCTCACAAAAAAATTTGTGTCGTCTGCAAACAACAGGCAGGAAACTACTTCCATTCCTCCTGCTCTACCTCCAATCCCGAACCCTATAATCATACCTCCATATACAAACTTGTTAATCATCCTTGTCAAGGCTTCTATAACCATAATGAACAAGAAGAGATAGAGGATCTCCTTGTGTCAACCTTTGGAACTTTAGAAGAAATCTGAGGGAGACCCATTCACCAAGACAGAGTCTGACAGAGGCAACATATCATCTAATCCACCTCCTCCACTTCTGCTCAAAACCCATTCTATTGTAATTTATAAATGAAAATCCAAGTTGATATGATCATATGCTTTCTCGATGTCCGACTTGCAAATGACACCTTGGGGGCCTTTCTTAATTCTGTAGTCCACTACCTCATTTGCTACCAAAACTGCATCCAAGATTTGCTTTCTTCCCTCCCACAAATGCATTTTGATTCTCAGAAATAATACTACTAACCACTCTCTGCAAACGCATCGCAAGCACTTTAGCTAGCAATTGTAACCGCATCCTACGAACTTGATTGGCTAAAAATTCTTCAAAAGGGTAACTTCACCTTTCTTGGGACTTAAAGCATTGAAAGAGGCATTTAGACTTCTTTCAAAACACATGATTCATGAAAATGGTTAAAAAGAGTCATAATATCCCTCCTAAATGAAGCTCCATGCCGCTAAAAGAAAAACCATAGTGAATCCATCGGGACCTGGGTTCTTATCCCATTACAAGCTTTCAGAGCTACCAAAACCTCCTCTTCAACAAAAGGCTCTTCGTACCCAACACTTTTTTGCTTCAGAAATAGCATCAAACTCTAGCTTATCAAGCCTGGACCTCCTGGAACACGTTTAGAGAACACGTACTCATAGAAGTCAACCACAACATCATGGATTACCTCATCGTCCCTCGAAAACTGCCTATAAATTTATGCCTCCTGTACAAGTTTGCCAGTCTCTGAAAAAATTTGGTATTGGATCTCTTCCGCCAGAATAATGCTGTCCAACAGCCTTGCCTCTTCCTTACCTTTACATGTATAAATAAATATATTTGCATACATATGTGATTCCTTTTCTATGACATTATTCTCGGCCTAAGATATATTATCGAATGAGTCAATGGTTAGTTCATGTTCTTGCAAGTTTGAAAACATAAATTTAGTTTCGGTCATGTCATGTTTATGTAAAGTCAACTACCCATGGTGTTATACTGTCTAAATTCCTGAGGTAATTAAATCTGTTTTATCTCACTTGGGTTGTGAGTTCTTTTCAAGAGAATCATGTGCTTAATGTTATTGATATTGTTTGTTGAGAGTTGTTGAGTCAGTAGGAGTGTAAGAAGCTAATATCTTTTTAAATATGGCTTTCCTTGTTTTTTTATGAATATAATACTTCGAAACCTTTTCCGAACTTAGGTTTACCATAGAAGTCATATGGCTTAAAATTGACCTGATCATTGGTTATGAGTCTTGTTGGATTAGTGTTTATTTGCTTTGCGGTTGCTAGTCGATTTATATAATTGTGTCGCATTAAGAAATTGATTCCTTTTGATACCCATTGAGGGCATCATGTTTCATGTAGTAGGCTTCTGGTCCAGATACTGATGTTCACTTTTTGTGTCCTTGAGCTCTTAAATTATTTTGGATTTGTATAATTGTATTGTTGAATACACTGTCTTTTCTTTGTTCCATGCTATGTTATATAGGTTACACAAATTGTCTGCTTCACTTGCAGGATACTTCCTCTGAAGAGGGCTACTGAAGAAAAGGCCCGAGCAATACGTGCAGCTGCTTCATCTAGCTTTAAATCCATGCTTCGTGAGAAAGCAGATATCACTACAAGTTCTCGTTGGTCCAAGGTTGGTTCATCTATTATAATAATCTTGCTGGGTTGGGAGATGTGGACTATTTTTGCATTTTCAATAAGTTAGAGACTTCCCCTTGTTTCTCTAAGCCACCCAAGTTCAGTTGATATAATCTAGAGGCTACTCCACCCATTACCAATTGGTTTGGGTTGGATGCCTTCAATAAATCTAATATGGTATCTTGCAACAATATATAAAATGCATTTGCAGAGAGTGGTCAGTAGTATTATCACTCCACCCATTTCCACTAGGTTTCATGCCTTCAATAACCACTCTCTAATATGGTTTGGAGTTCTTGAATTACTGCACACCAGCAAAACATATTTATATATTGTAATGTTCGGTTTTATATAAATATGTTTTGCTGGTGTAGAGTAATTCAAGAACTCTAAACCATTTAGTGACAATATATCTTTTCCTCTTCTCTCTTCTCTCTTTCTTCCTCTCAAAACCTTACTCTAATTTTCTACATTTTATATTCTAACTTGGTATCAGAGCAATCTATTCTAACACTTCTCAATAATATGTAACTCACCCCAAAAAAGCCACAAGCCTCCTCTTTTTAGTGTTGAAAATAACCCTAAAAATAATAATCGTGCTTTCGAGCATGCTGTGTTTGTGCTCAAGCACACTTGAGTCTGATTTTTCTTTTCTTTAGCAACTCAAGTGCTCAAGCACTCAGACTCCATGCTTGAACATAGGAAGACAGATGAATTGGTGGTTAGCATTTCAATATGATAGAATGTGTAGGAGAAGGTGTTCCTATCTTCATGGATAATTCAGTGTATATGAATGTCCATGCAGTGTGAATTCTTGTGTTCGAATGGGGTGTTCCTATCTTCATGGGTAAATCAGGTTATCTGAATGTCCATGCAGTGTGAATTCTTATGTTCGTTGTGGGATTTTTTTCCTCCATTTTTCTTTGCTTCCTTATTATTTTTCATGATCATTGGGAGTTTCGTCTGTTTACTGGAATGGAGAATGTAGTTCAGTCAAGCTTGATTCCAGCAGCTGAATTTGTTGGTGAAACTCTGGAAACTAATCATATCCTTACAACTACCATATCACTTCTGTTGCCAAAATGCAAAAATCCCATGGCTTGTGTTAAAAAAAAAAAAAACAGCCATCAACATTCTAAGAATATATATAGTTTCATTTGATCTACCTATAAAATCTTTGGGTTTATGGTTTCCATAACACAGCTTTGATAGGTGTTTGGGCAAGAAAAGTTTAAATGTTACATGGGATAATTTGGGAATTATCGACTTGGACAGTTGGGCCATTTGTTTGTGTCTGCCTTTTGATGGAATAGTAGCTCATTTATTTGTCCAGTTCTTTTAAGCTTTTTTCTTTTCAGTTATGAAGTTCTTATTTCCTACGTAAAAAAAAGGAATATGTTTTTTAATTCAGTACTGCTGAGAGTTGCACTTGATAGTTAAGGCATAGTATATTTTTGTCACTCAGATGTGAGTTGGTCTTAGCTATTACTTAAGGCACAACTAGAGTATATATATTAGTTAGAAAAATTGGGCATCTCATAGTTCTCAACCATAAAACTGGCATCATCTCAACTTTCTTCCACTGGAGACCTAAATTAGTTTCAAATATATCACTCAGTTACTTGCGGAACTGTTACATATCAAAAAGATTATTGGTGAAACTATAATGTTCATGTCACCTCATTTATGCAAAAACCTTGAATTATGTAGATTTTGAAGATTGATAATTAGCTTCAGAAAACCTGAAACTGATTTTTGCTATTGTTATTTTTTTTTCACATCCTTCTCTAAATAAACATAACGTTCACAATTGGGTTACATAAATCTGGTAAGAAGCCTTTGTTTTGTTATCTTGCCGAATTTATATACAAGTGGGACGCTGTGGTCTCTAAAACCTTTCAATAATCAATATAGGTCTTTTTTTTTTTCTTCTCGTTTTTCCAAATATATCTTAAAATTCATAATAATTGGTTGTGATAGGTGAAGGATAGTCTAAGGAACGACCCCAGATACAAATCTATTAAGCACGAGGATAGGGAGATTTTGTTTAATGAATATATATCTGAACTAAAGTCTGCTGAAGTGGAAGTGGAAAGAGCAGCAAAGGCCAAACAGGAGGAGCAGGTAACAAGAGTAGTTCCCTTTTCGCTCTTTGAAACTTTGTGTTTTCCTTGCTCTTCTTCTTTTGTTATTGTTGATTATTGAATGTGATTATGATGTTTTACGCAAAGTGCATTTAAATTGAACTATTTATGTAGCTGTCAACATTTCTTAAGGGTAATAATATTCTTTCAAGTTCTTGCTGAATTTCTGTTGGTCTCTCTCTCTCTCTCTCTCTCTCTCTCTCTCCACACGCACACACATATTGTTCTTTGTCTTTGTTTCATGTTTGGGAATGGTTTGAATTTTTTTTTTTTTTTTGAGATACTTTCACTTTTTAGGTTTGTTACATTTTCCCCATTTTTGTTACTATTGGTGCTTGGGCTAATTGAAAACTTCTGCTGCCATAAGAATACTGGGGTAATTTGCAATTTATTTTTGATACCAGAATTATGATAGAATGATCTTAATTGTGTAACATTAATAGAAACATGAAATAGTGGCTTTATAAATAACTGCAGTTTTGTAAGAATCTTCTAAGATTTTAAGGTGCTCACTGTGTTGCAAGTTGTTCTTACGGTCGAACGTTTTGATTAGATTTGATTGCAAACAATAGTATATTTGCTGAGGGAACATTTATGGTCGCTAATGGTCTTAGTGGATTTTAGTTATTAATGACAGTGCAGTAGCGTACAATTTGCTAATTGCTCTGATATTCTTTCTTATGCATCACCTCATGCAATCTGCCTGCCTCTTTCTCATATCTTGACCTAGCTGGGTTCTTGATTGTGAACAGTGACCAACTTTTTGTATCACACAGACTTGAGATGTCAATAACTATGTGACATTGTTACACTTAATTGATTAAGGTGGTTATTATTTGAGTTTGTTGGTGTTGTCTATAGCTGATCAGTAGTCAGATCTGTGAAGGTTTAAGATTGGAAGGCACGAGTAAATGATTCAAAGTCAAGTTAAGCAGAAGTAGTTTCTGAGAGATTGTCTTGGAATTGGAGCGGTTAATGAATTAGCTTAGCTTAGCAGAAAGAGAGGGATAATAGTCCATGATCAATGTCAATCTATACACTCAAAGTTACTGGCTTAATATTGCATTAATGCATCGCCAGTGAATATAAGCGCCTGAAAGAGTAAAAGTTGTAGCCTAAGATTAAACAGTCTCATTCAGGGGGGACTCAATTCTGTAAGAAATGGTTAAATTGAAGGCAAGTAGTTAGTAGAAGGGATTAGCGTTGATTTGGGGGTTATGGGTTGGGGTTTTGGGGTTAAAAAGTGCACTTTTTAGAGGGCTGTGAATTGTAACTGGGGTATGTGCGCGAAGAAGAAGAAGAAGAAGAAGAAAGAGAAGAAGAGATGGAAAGAGGTGCTTCGCCCTCGCAAGGGTTAGGCCAATCACATACAAATACATTTTCAAATTCTCATAATATCAACCCTATTGAATCATTGAGATTACACTTATTTATAGGCTAAAGACTCATGCTTCTATAACAACTATGACTTAAATTTAGAAACTAAGAATATTTAGTAACTACAAATATTCTAGACCAATTATGACTATAACTTCAACTATGATAGGAACTTAGATGACTTCTAATTCTGCTCTGATCATGACATGAATTCAAAATAGGAAACTTTCACCTTTTTAACCACTAAGACTACTTTAGACATAATAAAACCCATATCTAATGACCCATTTAATAATTTGACTAAAAACAAACCCCATGGCCACCCCTGCAACTCATGTCTAGTACTTATTAAAATTACTGTAGTACTCTTAACCACAAAACACTAACATGGCTTCTTCTCCTTGGATCAAAACAGCTTCTTGATGATCATGAGAAGCATAGACACTTGACACGACACATGTGGACACACAAATTTTCAAAAAATGCAGGGCATGACACGCTGGAGATATGTGCTAAACATATAGGGCTTGTTTGGTTTGTGTTTGTAGAGTAGTTTTTTAGATAAAAAGTGCGAAAACTTGTTTGGTTGGTCTTTTTTCAGAAATGATTTTGGAAAATTATTTTGGGGAGATAGTTTTAAAAAAAGTGATTGATTTGATGTGTATGAGAGAGACAGTGATTTTGAAAAGTAGGTAACCAAACAAAATTTTGAGATTTTTTTTAGAAAAATTTGTTTGGTTTGATTACTCTTGAAAATTTGTTTGTAGAGAATTTTTTTCCAAAAACAAACCAAACAAGCCCATAATTTTATATATTTATTTTATGTAATTTTTTTAATATTATATATTTATTTTTCGTCAAATATTTAATTTCATTCAATTCATCAACTTTGGGTATGTTACTTTGGTTTAAAGTTTTATTCAAAAAAAATGGGACACAACATGTCCTACTCCGTCCAATGTGTTTGACACGTGTTCAGCGCGTGTCCGTGTTTGACGCGTGTGAAACACTGATGCACAACCTCCGGAGAGGTGTCCATGTTTCATAGATCATGGGACCCTTCGGTTTTGTTTTGGGCTTCCAAAGCCTATCGTACTTGTTTAACCATGCAATAGATGTTGCATCATAATGTCTCTTCCTTTTTTCCCCTTATTACTTCACCGTTTGTGCTCCTGAATTGTGTAGGCAGATTGATGTGGATGTCCATGATGTGTATGCACTTGTTATTTTTATTTTTTTTTAATTTTAATTTTATTGTTACAACATTAAGAAGGAAATTAATTCTGTTAGATAAAATAATACATTCCTGTTTTTGTGATTATCTTTATTCAATATGCAGATCACCTTTTGGAATGTGTAGTGTTTCGATTCATCCACTTGTTTATTTGTAAATTAAATTTTCTGGCATACTTGTACTCAGGAGAAGCTGAAGGAAAGAGAGCGAGTATTGCGGAAGCGGAAGGAAAGGGAAGAACAAGAAGTGGAGAGGGTGCGATCCAAAGCTAGGAGGAAAGAAGCTGTTGAGTCTTATCAAGCTTTACTTGTTGAAACAATTAAAGACCCTCAGGTAGTGTCTTGTGGTCCCTCTTTGTAGAATTTTTTGAGTTATTGTTTTTGATGTTTGAGTATTAAATGTTGTTTTATATGCTTAGCTTTTTATAGGAACCTAATAGGAAGTTCATAGTAGTTCTTAGATGCATGATTTTCTTGTGCCATTACCTGATACGAAGGAGGCCTTTTTTGTTCATGAGATGTAAGTGAAAGGTTGGGCTATCGAATGGTATGTGCTAATATAGGCGTAATGGTTAAAAGTAATGATATTGTACATTGGTTCATTAATTTTTATATAGCATTGTAAGCTTAGATGCGCCCCACCAGTGCAATGTCTAAGGTGGATATTACAAAAGGATATGCTATCTGCAAGAAAATTTCTTTTCTGCACAAATATGGATTAGATAATAATTATCATAATCTTATGATTTTATATTTGAATTTATGGTTGGATTGCTCTTGATTGAATCTCAGTCTGAATGGAATATGGAGGAATCTAAATGAATCTATGAAAGTCATAAAAGAATCTTACTATTTGCAATTACCAGACAAAGCTTGTGTTTTAATAGCGTTTTAAACCATAGGGTCTATTTTACCCACGAATGCCACTAATATTTGTGCACCATGGAGAAACTACTACAAAATGTGAAGGAACATACCTGAATGGTAGTAGGACTACAGACTGCATTCTTGGAGGTGAAATTCAGTGATACCTAAGATCGAACGCTTGGTAATCCTTACTCACAAAGTCAAATTATAAGCACAGAACTGTACCTGGATGACCCAATACATGACTGTGTTTTGGTGCTTTCTTTTATAAAAAGAAATTCTTATCCATATTTTTTGCTGATGAAATTTAATTTACGGTCTGCCTTTAAATAGATTTTTTTTTTTGTTTTAAATTTTTATTAAAGAGGAACCCCATTGCACACATCCAGTGTATGCGTTGTGTCTACCCCAAATATGTGCAATCACCTGCATGCAAGGTTTTAAAAAGCGGCCGCAACCATTACGTAACGCCGTTACGTAACGGTTGTGGTAGTTACCGCCACCCGTTATGGCTGCTTTTGTAGTGTGATTGAGATTCACAGGTGTATTGGCCGTAGCGGCTGCTATAATGGTCATAACGGTGCCGTAACGGCCGTAACAGCCTGTTACGCACCGTTACGTAACGGTTCCGAATTGCTTCTTTCGAAAAAAAAAACACAAAAAAAAAAGTTGAAAATGGGGGAAGAGAGATAGAGAGAGAGGAGGGAAGATGAAGAGGGAAGATGGAGGAACAAGAGAGAGAGAGAGAGAGAAGAGGGAAGATGAAGAACATGTTATTGATTTATTAAAGCTGTAAGACCTATGCTATTCTATTCAGTTGCTATCACTCAACCATTTTGTTTGTGTGTGTCTATCTATATATTGCTTGATAATAATAATAATAATAATAATAATAATAATAATAATAATAATAATAATAATAATAATAATAATAATAATAATAATAATAATAATAATAATAATAATAATAATAATAATAATAATAATAATAATAATAATAATAATAATAATAATAATAATAATAATAATAATAATAATAATAATAATAATAATAATTTATCTTATATATAATAGTTAGTGATTGATTTTTTGTATAATATAAAGTCATTAATTATTAAAATAAAATGTAAAAAACTCAGTTTATAGTGATTTAAAAATATGAAATATATTGGATCAAACTTAAAAATTTATAAAAATTGATCAATATTTATTTTAAAACCCAATAAATATGATCATGGAAAAAAAATGTGCGTATCGGTATGTTTTTTTCAAATTGTGCGAAAAATAAAAAAATTCACGGTTCCGGTTACCGCAACCGTTACGCTATGGCCTTTACACCCCGCAACCGCAACCGCAACCGCCCCACCGCCATCGTTACGGCGACCGCTACCGTTTTTCAGAACCTTGCCTGCATGTAAGATTTCTGAATAGCTTTCTGTATCTCATATATTCAATTTGTGAATGATTACAATCAGACCTTAGATATATAGTCCTAAATCCTAAACCAAAAGGGAGAATATAATTATGCCTCTAATAGGACTCTAACACAATCATACCTCTAATAGGACTATAATAAAAAAGACACAATATATTCTCACACTTCCGCTCAAACTCAAAGTGTTTTAGCAGAAAACACTGAGAGTTTGCTAAGAAGAAACTGAAATCGAGCGGTAGTGTGAGTCTTGGTGAAGAAGTCCGCAAGTTGCAAAGCCGAAGGGATGAAAGGAAGCGAGATAGAGGCAGACTGCAGATGTTGGCGAACAAAGTGACAATCAATCTCAATATGTTTCGTCTGCTCATGAAAGACAGTATTGTGGGCAATCTGAACAGTACTGCGATTGTCACAATAGAGAGAGGTTGGAGAAGACTGAGAGACACCCAAATTAGATAAGAGACAACGAAGCCAAACAATCTCAGCAGTGGCATGAACCATAGCACGATACTCAGCTTCGACAGCAGAGCGAGCAACGACTGATTGTTTCTTGCTTTTCCAAGAGATTAAGGAATCTCCAAGAAACATACAGAAACCAGACGTAGACTTACGATCAGTAACATCACTAGCCCAATCAGAGTTAGCATAGGCCACCAAGTCCAAAGAGGAAGTGGAGGACAACAATAAGCCCTGAAAGATAGTACCCCTGAGATAGCGAAGAACGCGAACCAAAGCAGCCCAATGGGTAGAGCGAGGAGCAGAAAAAAATTGACTAACCACATGAACAGCATAAGCAAGGTCAGGAACCTTAGTATAAACTAAACAAAACAAGTTCGCGATATAAAGTGGGATCATCCAGAGTGACACCATCGGTAGAGTTAAGCTTTACATTAAGCTTGATAGGTGTATCAGAAACCTTAGTATCAGTAAGACCAGCACGATGAATGACTTCATTAGCATACTTAGCCTGAGACAGGAAATAGCCCTTGGGAGAAGAAGCAACCTCAATACCAAGAAAATACCGTAATGGACCCAGATCCTTCATTTCGAAGGTGCGGAAGAGATGCTGCTTGACCTCAGAGATAGCAGAAGAGTCCGAGCCAGTGATGATCATATCATCCACATAGAGCAAGAGAGCAACAAAACCAACCGAGGTATGTCGCAGAAATAAAGCAGAGTCGAAAGTAGAAGGATGAAACCCAAGCTCGGTAACAGCAATATGAAATCGATCATACCAAGCACGAGGAGACTGTTTCAGACCATACAGAGCACGCCGAAGACGACAAACCTGTCCAGAGGGATGGCGAAGGCCAGGGGGAGGACGCATGTAAACCTCCTCAGTGAGATGGCCATTAAGAAAAGCATTCTTAACATCCATCTGCTAAAGAGGCCAAGAACGAACAGCAGCGACAGAGATCAAAGCACGGACAGTAGTCATTTTGCAACAGGAGCAAATGTCTCACAATCAATACCATACTCTTGAGAAAAACCTTTGGCAACCAGACGAGCTTTGTAACGCTCAAGAGAGCCATCAGAACGAGTCTTGACTTTGTAAATCCATTTGCAACCAACCAGGTTCTTACCAGCAGGTAAAGGAACCAACTCCCAAGTACTAGTTTTCTGTAAAGCAGACAACTCATCCTCCATAGCTTGAATCCAATGAGGATCTTGACAGGCTTCCTTGTAAGACTGAGGTTCTACAAAAGAGTGAATAGCAGACAAAAAAGTACGATAGGAAGCAGAAAAACAAGTATTAGACCAATCCAACCTGTTTGGAGGATGACGTGCTCGAGGAGGATATCGGTGTGCAGTAGGATCAGAGTCGTCAGAAGCAGGAGGATCAGCAGTACGGGTGGAGACAATTGGTGGAGGAGGAGCCTTACGACGAGAATAAACTAACAACGGAGGAGGAGAAGAAACTGAAGGAGGAGAAACAGCCAGCGGTGAAGCAGGAGGAGAAGATAAAACAAGCTCAAGAGGAACTGTGGAGATGTACTCATCAGATGGTACCTCAGAAGGAAATGGGTCAATGTGAACCAAATCCTCTTTGGAAACTGGAGCAGTGACAGGAGGAAGCTGAAAGTAAGGCAGACATTCGAGAAAAAAAACATGACGGGAGACATAAAGACGACGAGAAACAGGGTCGTAACACCGATAGCCTTTTTGAGTAGGACTATAACCCAAAAAGACACAGAGGACAGACCGAGTTTGGTCCTATCTTGCGGGGAAGAAGGACAAAACAAGCAGACCCAAACACACGAAGGAGAGGGTAGTTAGGAAGTTGGGAGAACAAAGCCTCATAAGGAGATCGACCAGAAAGAATAGGAGTAGGCATGCGGTTGAGAAGAAAAGCAGTAGTAAGAACTGTCTCCCCCCAGAATGGAGCCGGAACTGAGGCAGAGAGAAGAAGAGACCTAGCTGTCTCAAGGAGATTACGGTGTTTACGCTCGGCTCGACCATTTTGGGCAGGGGTATCAGTACAAGAGGTTTGGTGAATGGTGCCCAATTTGGCCAAATACTCACAGAATTCAATTTTAAAGTATTCCCCACCCAAGTCAGACCGGAGTATTTTAATTGTGGCCCCAAACTGTGTAGTAATCATAGACGGAAAGGTACAATATATCTGATAGAAGTCGGACTTATGAGTTATAAGATAAACCCAAGTGTAACGAGTGCAATCATCAACAAATAACACATAGTATGCAGAACCCCCCTTGGTGAGAACAGGAGAAGGGCCCCAGACATCGGTATGAACTAAAGAAAATGGTGTAGCAGACAGTGTTTTAAAAAGCGCGCTTAGGCGCACGCCTAAGCTCAAGGCGAGGCAAGGCGCAGCTTTGCGCCTCAGGCATGGTGAGGCGAGGCGACATAGGTGAAGCGCTGCCTAGGCGATGAGGCTAAAAATTTACAAAAATTGATCAATATTTATTTATAACCCAATAAATATGATTATGGAAAAAAAAAATGTGTATCGGTATGTTTTTTTCAAATTGTGCGAAAAATAAAAAAATTCACGGTTCCGGTTACCGCAACCGTTACGCTATGGCCTTTACACCCCGCAACCGCAACTGCGCCACCGCCACCGTTACGGCGACCACAACCGCTTTTCAGAACCTTGCCTGCATGTAAGATTTCTGAATAGCTTTCTGTATCTTATATATTCAATTTGTGAATGATTACAATCAGACCTTAGATTATATAGTCCTAAATCCTAAACCAAAAGGGAGAATACAATTATGCCTCTAATAGGACTCTAACACAATCATACCTCTAATAGGACTATAATAAAAAATACACAATATATTCTCACACTCCTGCTCAAACTCAAAGTGTTTTAGCAGAAAACACTGAGAGTTTGCTAAGAAGAAACTGAAACCGAGCGGTAGTGTGAGTCTTGGTGAAGAAGTCCGCAAGTTGCAAAGTCGAAGGGATGAAAGGAAGCGAGATAGAGGCAGACTGCAGATGTTGGCGAACAAAGTGACAATCAATCTCAATATGTTTCGTCCGCTCATGAAAGACAGTATTGTGGGCAATCTGAACAGTACTGCGATTGTCATAATAGAGAGAGGTTGGAGAAGACTGAGAGACACCCAAATCAGACAAGAGACAACGAAGTCAAACAATCTCAGCAGTGGCATGAGCCATAGCACGATACTCAGCTTCGGCAGTAGAGCGAGCAACGACTGATTGTTTCTTGCTTTTCCAAGAGATTAAGGAATCTCCAAGAAACATACAGAAACCAGACGTAGACTTACGATCAGTAACATCACCAGCCCAATCAGAGTCAGCATAGGCCACCAAGTCCAAAGAGGAAGTAGAGGACAACAATAAGCCCTGAAAGATAGTACCCCTGAGATAGCGAAGAACGCGAACCAAAGCAGCCCAATGGGTAGAGCGAGGAGCAGAAACAAATTGACTAACCACATGAACAGCATAAGCAAGGTCAGGGCGAGTGTCAGTCAGATAAATTAAACAATCCACAAGTTCGCGATATAAAGTGGGATCATCCAGAGCGACACCATCAGTAGAGTTAAGCTTTACATTAAGCTTGATAGGTGTATCAGAAACCTTAGTATCAGTAAGACCAGCACGATGAATGACTTCATTAGCATACTTGGCCTGAGACAGAAAATAGCCTTTGGGAGAAGAAGCAACCTCAATACCAAGAAAATACCGTAATGGACCCAGATCCTTCATTTTGAAGGTGCGGAAGAGATGCTGCTTGACCTCAGAGATAGCAGAAGAGTCCGAGCCAATGATGATCATATCATCCACATAGAGCAAGAGAGCAACAAAACCAACCGAGGTATGTCGCAGAAATAAAGCAGAGTCGAAAGTAGAAGGATGAAACCCAAGCTCGGTAACAGCAATATGAAATCGATCATACCAAGCACGAGGAGACTGTTTCAGACCATACAGAGCACGCCGAAGACGACAAACCTGTCCAGAGGGATGGCGAAGGCCAGGGGGAGGACGCATGTAAACCTCCTCAGTGAGATGGCCATTAAGAAAAGCATTCTTAACATCCATCTGATAAAGAGGCCAAGAATGAACAGCAGTGACAGAGATCAAAGCACGGACAGTAGTCATTTTGCAACAGGAGCAAATGTCTCATAATCAATACCATACTCCTGAGAGAAACTTTTGGCAACCAGACGAGCTTTGTAACGCTCAAGAGAGTCATCAGAACGAGTCTTGACTTTGTAAATCCATTTGCAACCAACCAGGTTCTTACCAGCAGGTAAAGGAACCAACTCCCAAGTACTAGTTTTCTGTAAAGCAGACAACTCATCCTCCATAGCTTGAATCCAATGAGGATCTTGACAGGCTTCCTTGTAAGACTGAGGTTCTACAAAAGAGTGAATAGCAGACAAAAAAGTATGATAGGAAGCAGAAAAACAAGTATTAGACCAACCCAACCTGTTTGGAGGATGACGTGCTCGAGGAGGATATCGGTGTGCAGTAGGATCAGAGTCGTCAGAAGCAGGAGGATCAGCAGTAGGGGTGGAGACAATTGGTGGAGGAGGAGCCTTACGACGAGAATAAACTAACAACGGAGGAGGAGAAACTGAAGGAGGAGAAACAGCCAGCGGTGAAGCAGGAGGAGAAGATAAAACAAGCTCAAGAGGAACTGTGGAGATGTACTCATCAGACGGTACCTCAGAAGGAAATGGGTCAATGTGAGCCAAATCCTCTTTGGAAACTGGAGCAGTGACAGGAGGAAGCTGAAAGTAAGGCAGACATTCGAGAAAAAAAACATGACGGGAGACATAAAGACGACGAGAAACAGGGTCGTAACACCGATAGCCTTTTTGAGTAGGACTATAACCCAAAAAGACACAGAGGACAGACCGAGTTTGGTCCTATCTTGCGGGGAAGAAGGACAAAACAAGCAGACCCAAACACACGAAGGAGAGGGTAGTTAGGAAGTTGGGAGAACAAAGCCTCATAAGGAGATCGACCAGAAAGAATAGGAGTAGGCATGCGGTTGAAAAGAAAAGCAGCAGTAAGAACTGTCTCCCCCCAGAATGGAGCCGGAACTGAGGCAGAGAAAAGAAGAGACCTAGCTGTCTCAAGGAGATGACGGTGTTTACGCTCGGCTCGACCATTTTGGGCAAGGGTATCAGTACAAGAGGTTTGGTGAATGGTGCCCAATTTGGCCAAATACTCACAGAATTCAATTTTAAAGTATTCCCCACCCAAGTTAGACCGGAGTATTTTAATTGTGGCCCCAAACTGTGTAGTAATCATTGACTGAAAGGTACAATATATCTGATAGAAGTCGGACTTATGAGTCATAAGATAAACCCAAGTGTAACGAGTGCAATCATCAACAAATAACACATAGTATGCAGAACCCCCCTTGGTGAGAACAGGAGAAGGGCCCCAGACTTCGGTATGAACTAAAGAAAATGGTGTAGCAGATATAGAAGTACGGTTACGGAAAGGTAAGGCTGTCATTTTAGCAAGTTTACACCCCCGACACTCGGTAAGTTGACTAGGAGAAACTTTGCCCAATATACCTGATTGAGCTAAAGACCGTAAGCGGTCAGCAGACAAATGCCCTAATCTGGAATGCCACAAATAGAAAGGACTGGACAGAGAATCTAACTGAAAAGAAGAAAAGGTAGTTGGAGAGGTAGTCATAGGCAGATGCAAGCTTTCCACCACATAGAGGTCTCCAACTCTACGGCCAGTCCCAATCTGCTGTTTGGACATCCGATCCTGTACAGAACAAATAGAAGAAGAAAAGATAACATCAAAACCAAAGGCATCAAGTTGATTAATAGATAATAAACTGACAGATAACTGAGGAACATATAAAACAAATGGAATAGAAACTGCAGACATAGCAGACGGTAGGACAGACCCAACAGATATAGCTGACATACCAGACCCATTAGCAGCATTAACAGTAATAGGAAAAAGAGGAGGAGTGCAATTTTGAAGTAAGGAGAGATAGGGAGTCATATGATGTGAGGCTCCAGAATCAAAAAGCCAGACAGACGAAGAAATACCTGAAAAAGACCCAAGCAAACCTGAATGAAGAGAGGAAACAATGGAGGTAGATGGGGATGGCTGGGAGTTAGACAATATATGCCGAAGCTGACTAATCTGAGCAGTCAAGGAAGTCAAGTCAGGATCAGGAGTCGGAGCAGATACAGTAAAATCGGCAGGAGACTGAACAGACAGACATCCATTCTTGGGAAAATGGTACTTCCAATGACCCCTTTGATGGCAGTAGGCACACTCATCTGAAGCAAGGAGCCCTTTCTTGGGTTTTACAGAAGCAGAAACTGTCATCATTATAATAAACTGAAAGCTAATAGGGGGAACAAAACCAATATATCCAACATCACAGTGTAAGAACCAAGAGAGTATGAGGTCTAAATGTAATAATATGACAATAACCCAATATTAGAGGATTTTAGATGCAAAAATCCAATGGGTCGAACCAGCCTCAAACATAACCCTTTTGAGTGAGAGAAGCTGAGAGGTAACTTCACTTCGATGCAACCAACAGATGCGACGAAGCAACCAGAGAACCATACACCAGGACAATCGCGAGGCAGAGAGCAGCGAGAAGAAGTCGCGAGTCAAAGACTTGCGAATCAGCTAGGTCGCGAAATTTGTCCAGAGAGCTTCAAACCAGAGAGAGAACTAGTGGTTTTGACAGACTGAACTAGAGATGGGTCGAAGTCTTGCAAAACCAAGATGGGTTGACCATGAAGGAGAGCCAGAGAGAGAAGACGAGCTGTGAGGAGGCGATGACTAGATGGGTCGAACCGTTGGATGGGTGCGACTACCAAATAGCACAAACAGAGAAGAAATCCAGATGGGTTGACTGAGACAAGGTACAACCACGAGCAGACGGGTCACGAACCAGAATGAGCAGATGAGTTGACTGAGATGAGGCACAAACACGAACAAGAGAGTAATGGAGACGGCTCTAGGGTTTCGGATCAGAGAACGGCTCTGATACCATGTAAGATTTCTGAATAGCTTTCTGTATCTCATATATTCAATGTGTGAATGATTACAATCAGACCTTAGATTATATAGTCCTAAATCCTAAACCAAAAGGGAGAATTCAATTATGCCTCTAATAGGACTCTAACACAATCATACCTCTAATAGGACTATAATAGAAAATACACAATATATTCTCACACTGCAAACCACGTGTTTTGGGCAAGTCCAGGTGTTGCCCGCGAGAGTCAAATGTAGGATTGCATAGTTTACATGTAAATCCCTTACCATTGGCCACTTGTGTGGGTTTCCTGATAAAGGGATATGTGAATGCCTGATTTAAGTTTCTAGAGCTAATTGGGCTACGATGATTTAGGGTCGTTTTTCATTTTATATTTTGTTTGGATGTCAATACCATTTCCATGCAACCAAACGTGCAGTTGTTTTTTAATGGTTATTTGATCACTTCATTTTTAGTAGCTTCATTTCAAAGGGGGGTGGAATTTGATTACACTTATATAATAAAACCACTTCACTTGCACACTCAGGCATCTTGGACAGAATCAAAGCCTAAACTGGAGAAGGATCCTCAAGGACGTGCAGCAAATCCTTATTTAGATCAATCTGACTTGGAAAAGCTTTTCCGGGAACATGTGAAGGTGTTGCATGAGGTAATGCTACTTTCTCTTACGTCTTCTCTTTCAATGATTGCATGGTGGTTATTGGTTTTGTGCAATGAACTACTTCCGGGAGGTTTTGGGTCTTCTTCACATATCCCCTCCCAACTATTGTATGTAACAGGAGTGTTCCTTTCCATATATGTTTATGTGTTTGTGGAACTGACATTATTATGGTTGTTCTGACTTGCCTTTTTTAAATCCTTGTTTGTTATGGATATAAGCTTTATCACTTCCATAGGTGTTTTTGAGCTCAATGTGTTGTGAAGTGTTGACTTGAGGTTACATCATTGGAGATTGAGAAAGTTGGCTTGAAAGACATCTATTCTTCACAAACCAAATCACTCGCAAGTCCATTGTGACCAATTAAAATTTCAGTACGGTTTTATATGTAGCCATGTGTTTATTAAAATATTGTGATTATATTGGAATCAATCATGACTCTAAATTTGATCTTCACGAAAACAATTCTAAAATTAGTGGGCGTAAGTTACCTCCGGAGTTATTATAAGAATCTTATTGTCATTAGTTCATATTTTTTTAAAAAAAATCTCTCTTTTAGCTCGAGGGATGTTAACACCCATAGATATTTGTTGCCATTGCCATCATGCTTGGAGATATCTTTGGATTCCCATTGTAGCAAATACCATTTCCTTAATACCTAAATCAATTGTTACAGATGGCAGAAGATTGTATATTTGCTATCGGTCATCTGATGTGTGTGAAACTGGTTGTAGTTAAAACAGTGCTTATTGAATCTGCTGTTTTTGAGAATTTTAGTTCATTTATATTTAGGAATTTTGTTTCAAGGTCATTAATTATGCCTGTGAAGGTATCAGGCACTGTTTGAGGTGACTAATTATTTTGTGTTTTTTTTCTTTTTCCTTTTTTCAGAGGTGTGTATACGATTTCAGGGTGCTCTTATCTGATGTCATAACTTCAGAAGTCGCTGCTCAAGAAACAGAAGATGGTAAAACAGCTATGACTTCTTGGTCAACAGCTAAACGTCATCTAAAGTCTGACCCTAGGTATACAAAGATGCCGAGGAAAGAAAGGGAATCGTTGTGGCACCGACATGTCGAGGAGATGCAGCGGAGGCAAAAGTTAGCCGTTGATCAAGAGGGAGAGAAGCAAGCAGAAACAAGAAGTAGAAGATCTGTTGATTATGGGAAGTATCTATCGGGATCTCGGGGCAATCATGAGTGAAGATTAGCATTTTTTTTGGTGAGAAACTAGTGATTTAACTCTTCTTTTTTTCTGATCTTGGTGAGTCTTCTTTTCTTGATCTTAGAATGAGCTGATTCTTTCCTTTATGCTAGTCAATACTGTACTATATATTTTGTAATTAGATTGATTTTTATGAACTTAATCAGTTATAGTGAATCTATATCCCTGTTTTGTACTGCATCACTGGTTTTGCTTTGCCAATTTTCCATTGACTTTTTGTCTACCTCGACTCACGGAACCGTTGAAGGGATTTTTGATCGAGGGAGCGTGTTGGAGAGCTTTTTTCTAGGTTTCACATTTTTGAGTGTTAAAATGAGTTGCTTGAAAATAGCGGTGTTTATAGTTATATCAAGATACTACTGCAATAAGATTATGTTTGGATCTTAGATTTTTATAGTTATATCAAGATACTACTGCAATAAGATTATGTTTGGATCTTAGATTTTTAAAAGTTACAGAGTTGGGTTCTCTCAATTTGAAGAAGTCATTCACACATTTGATTGGAGGGATTGAAAGTTACTGTGTGTTTTTCTCTCTCTATTGATTGAGAGTCTCCTGCAGACCACTAAATCACACCTTAATTAATCTTAATCGAGATTTAAACAAGGTTAAGATTATTCCTAGGTTTAATCAGTGGATTTAGACCCTATTACATTGGTTGGAATAGAGATCTTAGTTTCTATGCTTCAAGTTACAATCATTATTAGAAATCAAAATCAATGGTCTATAATTGTTTAGTCAATTTAAAACTTTAAAATCTTTCTTTTAAGTGTATGGATTTGAAATAAAGATTTGTTCATGTAACTATTAAACAACCATTGATCTTGAAATGACAATTCCATTAAAAAATGATAAATTACAAATATGTTCTTGACGTTTGATTAAAATACAAATCGTTCCTTGCAATTTTAAAAATTATATTTCACAGTTTGAGATTTTTGATTTCATAACAAATCGCTATTTTTATTAATAAATCGTCAAGTCAATTAACAGTTTTTAAAGATGTTAAAAATATATTTCAATTAATAATTTAGATAATTTTATTATTATATAGAAGAGTAATTATGAATTTTATTTTTTTAGTTAATTCTGTTAAATAAATTTTTTTAATAAGGAGTATTTGTAATTTTTCAAATTACAGGAAACAATTTGGAAAATTCTATTTCCATATCCCTATTTATCTCAGTACATATTATTTCTCAATACACATTTATAAATTTAATTAGATATTATTTATCTCATTTCACACCGCACATGTTTTAATTATGACTCTTAATTCAAATATTGTACACACACTTTCTACCTAAACACACACACCCACATAGCCTCTGGAGAGAAGAACACAAGACCCAGCGGATTCCGACCACCACGCCGCCGGCACCCTTCGGGCTCTGCTCTGCCAAATCTGTTTCATTTTGGCTTTCTTTGCTTGGGACCTTTTGTCACTTGGGTTGTTGAGAAATGTTTGTTTTGTCTCATGGCTTTTGTTTGAAATGTGTTTCTCACACTTTTTCTCTGTTGGATTTGATGTGAGTTAGTCTTGAAATCATGTTAATCTGTTTGTAAGTTGGTTCATAATTTCAATTGATACCTTCCAATTGGACATTTTTGGGAGGATTTTCCCATATTAAGCCAATTTACTATCTTAATTCCCAAATAAGGCCAAGTTTGAACATAATTCCCAAACTAGGCTAAAGCGCTATTACAAATCACACTTTCATTGTTTGGAATACAAAATTTGATGAATAGTGAAAGCGCTATTACAAACCACGCTTTTAATTGAGAAAGCGTAGTTACAAACCACGCTTTTAACATAAATTTGTTTTCTGAAGAAAACGTGGTTTCAAACCACGCTTTCACTGTGCATATTGTTTAAATTTTTTTTTCTGAAGAAAACATGATTTGCAATCATGCTTTCACTATGCATTGTTTTTTGTTAAGAAAACGTGATTTGAAATCACGCTTTCACTGTTGATAAATGAAAGCGTGGATTGAAACCATGCTTTTACAACTTATATAAAACACCCAAGCCCCCTCATTTGCAATCACGTTTTTTACACTTACGTTTTTTCGACTATTGCTCTCGATCTCCCTCTGCTCTCAGACTCTTTAACTCTCGCTCTCGCTCTTGATCTCCCTCTGCTCTCAGACTCTCTCTCTGCTCTCACTCTGTCCGTGGTATGGCATCTATCTCTCTCTGTCTCATTTGAATTTTATGTATTTATTTATTGTGTTTGTAAAAATGTGAATATGTGGTTGAAAATGAGAATGTGTGTTTGTGAAAATGTGAATATTAGGGTTTTAAATGTCAATTATTAAATGTGTTAGGATTCTAATGTGTTAGGGTTTTGAATTAGGGTTTTAAATGTGTGGTTATGAAATTATGAAATCATAAAATGTTAGTGTTTTGAATTGTGAAATCAGAAATTATGCTTGTGGTTTCAGAAATTAGGGTTTGGAATTTTTTGAAATCAGAAATCAGGGTTTGGAACTAGGGTTTGGAATTTTGCTTGTGAATCAGAAATCAGAAATTATGCTTGTGAATCCTGTCTATATTTTTTTGAAATTAGGGTTTGAAATTTTGAATTGTGAATAAACCAACGTATATTTGTTGAATTGGAAATTTTATTTTTTGCTTGTTAAGAAGAATTAAAAGGAAATTAGGGTTTGAAATTAGGGTTTTAAAAGTAATTTTTTTTAATTAAGAATAAAATTATGTGAATTGAAATTCATATAATTGAGAATTGTGAATGTCATATTATGAAATTCATATAATTGAGAATTGAGAATTGAAATTCATATTATGAAATTCATGAATTGAGAATTAAGGTGGACTGAAAATTTCAATTCGAGGTCCACATGCTTACATATATATGATCATTTTGTTTCAGAAAATAAGACTGTAAGCTGTATGATTGAATTCAAAATCTAAAAATTGAAATGAATCTGAAAAAATCAAAAGTTGAGAGATTTGAAAAAAAAAAAATAAAATGAATTTAGTGCATAACTGCCCATATAACTGATATAAGGGTATTTTTGAAAACCCCAAAATATGAGACGTAAACACCCAGAGAAGACTTCTCTTTATAATAGTACTACATATATATATACCTTTATTCAGTATTTCACTTGGTAATATCAAGGTGGGATTGTATACTTGAATCTGCCGCCTATTATACTATATGAGAAATGGTATTTGTCACCTGATTTATTTCACTATACTATTTTACCCTCTAGGTGTATTTATTCAATTCAAGACATTGTGCATATTTAATAAAAGGCAAATTTCACTTCAATGTGCATGTGCAAACTACCCATATAATTTGGAAATAACTATAATGTTCTTGTGATTTGTGGACTAAATGAAGTATACCGTTAGACGTTCAATCCAAGTTAACATCAAGTGTGAAACATGTGATAGGTCATAAGGGGTGAGAAATGGTATTTGTCACCTGATTTATTTCACTATACTATTTTACCCTCTAGGTGTATTTATTCAATTCAAGACATTGTGCATATTTAATAAAGGGCAAATTTCACTTCAATGTGCATGTGCAAACTACCCATATAATTTGGAAATAACTATAATGTTCTTGTGATTTGTAGACTAAATGAAGTATACCGTTAGACGTTCAATCCAAGTTAACATCAAGTGTGAAACATGTGATAGGTCATATGGGGGTTATGTTCTTATTTTCAAATATCAGAGGTAAATCACACATGGAGTAAAGCAAAGGAGGTTAAAGTCAATTTTATCTTTCAAAAAAATGACAAATATAATATGAATTTCAATTAAAAATACTAAGCGTATGGAAAGATTAACGTTTTTTCCTAAGTTAAATTTCATGAAACTAATCTCTACTAGATGAAATTATAAAAAAAAAAAAAAATTAATTTTGACTCTATTTTATTAAAAAAAAATATATTTTTATTGACTTCAAAATAATAAATGAAAAGATCATGTTCTCTCAAATAGAAGACAAAATGACTATATTAATCTGAAAATACTATTTTGTGTATTTTCTTTATTTAATTGTGTAGGTTACATAAGAGATTTAAACATTTCTGGCATCCTTTAATGAAAATAACATTATAATTTGTAACTAATTATCTATTAAATGGGTTATTTATGTCAATTTCATATTATGGACTTTGACATAACCCTATTTATTTATCGTGTTATTATATAGTGTCATATTTGTGTTTGTGTTGAAAATGTTCAACCCTAACCCCTAACTCTGTGTACGATTCATGTTGTGTTAGAAATTCCCACCTGTAATAGAATCAAAGTAGGTTCAAGTGGAGTGCCTTTGGCATATTATGTGATCAATGATACTAACAAAATTGACGTTGTTAATTTATAAAACAATTGTAAGACCAGTGATACTTTGCAGTTCACATATAAAAATCATGTTCTCTTAAAGTCAATTTTATTCAGTATTTCACCTTTATTCAGTGTTTAGAAATTGGATTAAAATCAAGAATAAAATAGTCAATTTATTATTCTCAAAGTAATTAAGGGATTAGTGTGAGTGATATATTCCCTTTTGAATGAATTATTTTGCCTTTGATTTTGATCTAATGTCTTAATAGATATTATCCGTTGCACTTAATTCATGCATTGTGTAAAATTAAAGGATAAAAGTTGATGCAATTAGAGCTTCAAGAATCAAATTGATTTGAGACAAGAAGCAAACTGCATGACTAGGGATTCAATTTGCCTTTTATTACAAATGAAAATCATCTACATTTTTTTTAGGGGAAAGATCCACATCAAAAAATTTATACAAATTTTGTCAGTATATATCGCTGCTCTTTTAATTGTTTGTTTTTAAATTTAATCTTCAATATCAAATTTTCTTTTTGTCTTTCTTAAATTTTAAGGAAGAAGTTCTAATAATTGAGTTAATTACTTAAAAGTCCTATTGGTAATGTTCATGTTCCGTTAAGTTCTCTTTCCTTTTTGTTAACCCATTAAATCTTAGTTTCAAAATATTTATTTATGTAAAACTGTTTTACCTTTGTTAAAAGAAGAATGAATTGTGTCAATTCCTTGAGTGTTAGTAGAAAATTATTAGGTGATACAAGTGCACCACATGACAATGTTATCAACTAATCACCAAGCATTATACCTTATGCCCTAATACAAAATTGTAGGCCCCACCCTCCCCATCAATCAT